ATTTCGAATCATGTAATGCTCTTCTGCTCACGCTGGCTTTACCGCAGTGCTTTATCGATGAAGTGAAGCTTGATCATATTTAAGTATTTTTCCTTTTGTTTGCCTGAAATGGACGTGACAAGATGCATGAATGGCCTGAGCAGTCGCAAATGCTTATATTTGTTTGATGCACAAGTGGCCTGGGCATGTGTTCATTTCGGATCATGTAATGCTCTTCTGCTTACGCTGGCTTTACCGCAGTGCTTTCGCGATGCAGTGAAGCCTAATCTACTTTTGGTAATTGTTTTTTGTCACCCTGAACCGGACATGCCAAGATGCATATTTGGCCTGAGCAGTCGCAAGTGCTTATATTTGTTTGATGCACAAGTGGCCTGTGCATCCGTTCATTTCGTATCATGTAATGCTCTTCTGCTCACCCTGACTTTACCGCAGTGCTTTCACGATGCAGTGAAGCTCAATCATCTTTTGGTATTTGTCTTTTTGTCTATCTGAAACGGACGTGCCAAGATGCATATTTGGCCAAAGCAGTCGCAAATGCTTATATTTGTTTGATGCACAAGTGGCCTGTGCATGCGTTCATTTCGTATCATGTAATGCTCTTCTGCTATGGTGGCTCTACTGCAGTGATTTTGCGATGCAGTGAAGCTTAGTCATCTTTTGGTAATTGTCTTTTGTGTTTCTGAAACGGACGTGCCAAGATGCATATTGGCCTGAGCAGTCGCAAATGCTTATATTGTTTGATGCACAAGTGGCCTGGGCAAGTGTTCATTTCGTATTATGTAATGCTCTTCTGCACACGTTGGTTTTACCGCAGTGCTTTTTTGATGCAGTGAAGCTTGATCATATTTTAGTATTTGTACTTTTGTCTGCCTTAAACGGACATGCCAAGATGCATATTTGGCCTGCGCAGTCGCAAATGCTTACATTTGTTTGATGGACGAGTGGCCTGTCCATGCGTTCATTTCGTATCATGTAATGCTCTTCTGCTCACGTTGGCTTTACCACAGTGCTTTTTTGATGCAGTGAAGCTTGATCATATTTTAGTATTTGTCCTTTTGTTTGCCTGAAACGGACGTGACAAGATGCATATTTTGCCTGAGCAGTCGCAAATGCTTATATTTGTTTGATGCACAAGTGGCCTGTGCATGCATTCATTTCATATGATGTAATGCTTTTCTGCTCGCTTGGCTTTACTGCAGTGCTTTCGCGATGCAGTGAAGCTTAACCATTTTTTGGTAATTGTCTTTTTGTCTCCCTGAAACGAACGTGCCAAGATGCATATTTGGCCTGAGCAGTCGCAAATGCTTATATTTGTTTGATGCACAAGTGACCTGTGCATGCGTTCATTTCGTATCATATAATGCTCTTCTGCTCACCCTGGCTTTACCGCTGTGCTTCCCGATGCAGTGAAGCTTCGTCATCTTTTGGTAATTGTCTTTTTGTCTCCCTGAAACGGACGTTCCAAGATGCATAATTGGCCTGAGCAGTCGCAAATCCTTATATTTGTTTGATGCACAAGTGGCCTGTGCATGCGTTCATTTCGTATCATGTAATGCTCTTCTGCTATGCTGGCTCTACCGCAGTGATTTTGCGATGCAGTGAAGCTTAGTCATCTTTTGGTAATTGTCTTTTTGTGTGTTTGAAAAGGACGTGCAAAGATGGATATTTGGCCTGAGCAGTCGCAAATGCTTATATTTGTTTGATGCACAAGTGGCCTGGGCATGTGTTCATTTCGTATTATGTAATGCTCTTCTGCACACGTTGGTTTTACCGCAGTGCTTTTTTGATGCAGTGAAGCTTGATCATATTTTAGTATTTGTCCTTTTGTCTGCCTGAAACGGACATGCCAAGATGCATGTTTGGCCTGCGCAGTCGCAAATGCTTACATTTGTTTGATGCACAAGTGGCCTGGGCATGTGTTCATTTCGTATCATGTAATGATCTTCTGCTCACGTTGGCTTTACCACAGTGCTTTTTTGATGCAGTGAAGCTTGATCATATTTTAGTATTTGTCCTTTTGTTTGCCTGAAACGGACGTGACAAGATGCATATTTTGCCTGAGCAGTCGCAAATGCTTATATTTGTTTGATGCACAAGTGGCCTGTGCATGCGTTCATTTCGTATCATTTATTGCTCTTCTGCAGACGCTGGCTTTACCGCAGTGCTTTATCGATGCAGTGAAGCTTGATCATATTTAGGTATTTGTCCTTTTGTTTGCCTGAAATGGACGTGACAAGATGCATGATTGGCCTGAGCAGTCGCAAATGCTTATATTTGTTTGATGCACAAGTGGCCTGGGCATGTGTTCATTTCGGATCATGTAATGCTCTACTGCTTATGCTGGCTTTACCGCAGTGCTTTCGCGATGCAGTGAAGCTTAGTCATCTTTTGGTAATTGTCTTTTTGTCTGTTTGAAAAGAACGTGCGAAGATGCATATTTGGCCTGAGCAGTCGCAAATGCTTATATTTGTTTGATGCACAAGTGGCCTGGGCATGTGTTCATTTCGTATTATGTAATGCTCTTCTGCTCACGTTGGCTTTACCGCAGTGCTTTTTTGATGCAGTGAAGCTTGATCATATTTTAGTATTTGTCCTTTTGTTTGCCTGAAATGGACATGCCAAGATGCATGTTTGGCCTGCGCAGTCGCAAATGCTTACATTTGTTTGATGCACAAGTGGCCTGGGCATGTGTTCATTTCGTATCATGTAATGATCTTCTGCTCACGTTGGCTTTACCACAGTGCTTTTTTGATGCAGTGAAGGTTGATCATATTTTGGTATTTGTCCTTTTGTTTGCCTAAAACGGACGTGCCAAGATGCATATTTGGCCTGCGCAGTCGCAAATGCTTTCTATTGTTTGATGCAAGAGTGGCCTGGGCGTGCGTTCATTTCGTATCATGTAATGCTCTTCTGCTCACGCTGGCTTTACCGCAGTGCTTAATCGGTGCAGTGAAGCTTGATCACATTTAAGTATTTGTCCTTTTGTTTGCCTGAAATGGACGTGCAAGATGCATGATTGGCCTGAGCAGTCGCAAATGCTTATATTTGTTTGATGCACAAGTGGCCTGGGCATGTGTTCAATTCGGATCATGCAATGCTCTACTGTTTATGCTGACTTTACCGCAGTGCTTTCGCGATGCAGTGAAGCCTAATCATGTTTTGGTACTTATATTTTTGTCTGTTTGAAAAGGACGTGCCAAGATGCATATTTGGCCTGAGCAGTCGCAAATGCTTATATTTGTTTGATGCACAAGTGGCCTGTGCATGCGTTCATTTCGTATCATGTATTGCTCTTCTGCTCTCGCTGGCTTTACCGCAGTTCTTCCGCGATGCAGTGAAGCTTAATCATTTTTTGGTCAGTGTCCTTTTGTTTGCCTGAAACAGACGTGCCAAGATGCATAATTGGCCTGGGCAGTCGCAATCGCTTATATTTGTTTGATGCA